AACTGGTCCACCCTAAAGACAAAATACAAAAAGAGGAAACCTGTGGCTGCATTTACCAAGTATCATGCTTAAATTGCAGAAAAGTATATATTGGTGAAACAGGAAGATCACTTAAAACCAGGATTCAGGAACAAACAAACAAGCCAGTCAATGAAAAACAGCATAATGCAGATAAAATGGGCACATAATTTTCTAAGTTGTCTGTAGAAAATGTTTAATAATAAAATAGAGAAATAATAATACAGTAATATATATACTGTATGAATATTAATAATAGTAATAAATCATTTTTTTATTTTATTTTAAACATCACTGAACAGCAAAAGTCAGTTACAGGATTACTTAAATACATTATATGAAAAAAAAACATTAAAACGATTGGTATGTATTTATTATTATTGATATTACTGAATTATTGTTACTCTATTACTGAATTATTAAACTTTAGGTTTGGTTGATATTAACAATCGTGTCTTGTCTTTGTTTTTTACAGTTTTTTGGGGTTTTTTTCTGTATGAATAACTCTGGATGTCATGAAAATTGCATTTTCATAAAAAGTAAAACCTACTGTAAGCATTATCAATAAATAAAACTTCTGATAAAACATTTTGTATGCATTGTGTGTGAATAGTGAGTACCGTATACATGTAATGTGTTAACAGCCCTGAAATGGATTTTTTTTTTTTTTTTTTAACCATATACACATGGGATAGCCCACGAAAGTCTAGACTTATTTCCAGTGGGGTCCTTCGGTGGTGATTCAGCAGTAAACCAGGAGACAATCCTCTACTCTTTCCCGAAGAGTGTACTGCGTTCTTTAACGTGCAGATGGGCCATTAATGCACACAGGACCAACGGTTTAAACGTCCCATCTGAAAGACGGTGCGCTATTGTAACTTGTATTTCAGCCTTCTAGCTGAAACACAAGGAGAAGCAGTGATGGGAATTGAACCGGTTACCTAGAGATCTCCACGGTTCAGTGCACACAGTGGCTACAACCAGATTTTTTTTCTCAAATTTTTTAGATTTTTAGCTTCAGTATCCTGCGTTTTTGGTTTACTGTACCTGTGTTATGGTTAATAAATCATAATGTTTTAAAATCATTATAAAACAATGGTTGGTCAACAATTTTTTTATTTTTTTTTTATTTTGCCTTTAAAAATTAAAAGTGATTTAAATTCTATAACAGGGCATAATAGATTTGTATAGCACGAACAGGAAGAGGCTATATACAATATTTAATAAAAATGTGCAGACAAAAGTCTCCTTATTGCTTCGCATGGTAATAAAGATTGTTGTAATAAATACAGTACCGTACTCGCGCGAATAAGCGCCCGGGCGCTTAAAATATTTGTTGCACTTTCTGAGGGGCGCTTATTCAAACGGGGCACTTATGAAAACAGAGTGGAAATTGAGGGGGCGCTTATGGAAATAGATGAAAATCGAGGGGTTCTTATGGGAAATTATTTTAATAGGCCTAATTAAAAATTCAAGAGGCACTTTTTGAATGAAAAAAAGATTATATAAGGACATTACGAATGGTGGTTAGAAAAGATAATCGTCCAGAGAATAACAGCAAAATAGCAGATGCAATTAGTGGTGGGTAGTGGTTAGCTTGTTGCCCATCGGCATTGAGATTAGCAGGATGGCAGGATCATTGTATTTTTCTTGAAAACTCAGATGAGAATGTGCTTAAGGTCGAAAAAAGAAAAAGAGTGTAAAAAAGATTAAAGTTGGAAATATACTGTCGGTCCAGGGATCGGAGCTCTCATCTGTCCAGGGATCGGAGCTCTTATCTTAGCTTCAGTGTATCATGGTACAGTCATATCACGTTTACATTGATGGATCTGTCTACCTTTCAATGGTTGTGGACCGATAAACCTCTTTAGTGTATGGCAGCATTTTTAGAAGAAAAAAATTATAATAGAGTTATCTCTTTGCGAAATATAACTTTAAACTGCATCCTCCACATATGTGCTCAGAAATGAAAATTTGTAGTCTTTAATTTTTCTTAGTGTTGAAATGCGAGCTCCAAAGAGGCCAGAGCGTATATGGCCTGAAGTCGTGCTAGAATGTAGTTTCCGCAGTAGAGTACAGTAGGCCTACTGGGTGTAATTTGACATTGGTTAATATCTTATTGAAATATCCTAAGGTTTTTTTTGACGGAGTGCCGAGGGCTCCAGAGCTCATGTGTTGCACTGTTGGTGGTTTCACACTTGGTTAGAGGTTTTTCTGCCTTCTACACCTGGGACTCCATTGTATTCTAACCTGTGCATTTTTTTATGCACTTTTTTCGCACTACTGTACCTATTAACTGTTGCAATGTAACATTTGCATTACTGTATTTATGATAGGCTTATTTACACTTTTTAGAACATGAACCGAGAAATGGGTTATTCTCATGCATTACCAATCAGGTTTTTTTTTTTTTGTTTTTTTTTTTTAGTTTCTATTCATACTAGTCAGGCCCGTAGCCAGGGGGGTTTTTATGGTTCGGGCGAACCCCCTTTTTCTAGCGAATCCCCCTGTTTTCTAGCGAACCCCCTCAAATTTTTGAATGAGTCCCACTCGGACGGAATGTCTGTTTTTAACTTACCCAGCATTAAATCAAAATTTAGCACCCTAATTCATTATTTAGTGACCCGTTTTTAAATTCTAGCCTGCGTTACAAGCCTTCATTCATAGAATATCTCAGCTTCAGAAGTTCGGAGATTTAAATTGAACGCAACTCCGGCAAACCATGAATTTACAATGGCTTACATCAGGGCCAGCGGAACGTTTTTCAAAGTGGGGGGGGGGGCCCAACTTATAAGATGAGTGGGAATATGAATCATGCAGATCTGGAAAAACCTAGGGGATGGGGGGTCAACATTTTTCCCAAAAAGGAAAGGGGATCCGGGGGTCCTCCCCCGGGAAATTTTTGATTTCTAGATGGCGGGATATGACCTTTTTTCGATTTTTAAGCTAGGTTTCTAATGACTTTGTTCTTCAAAATTCAAGGTTTCCAAAGAATAGGGGGTGCGGGGGTCCTCCCCCGGGAAAATTTTGATATCTAGAAGGAAAATTTTGATTCCTAGAAGGCGGGAAATGAGTTCCGACTTCTGAGGTGTCTTTTTAATTACGTTAAGTTCTTCAAAATTCAAGGTTTTCCCCTCTTGAAAACAGTCAGGTAAATTTATCCCTGTTATTACAGTAGATAGGCCTTATGTGTGTGTATACATACATTAAAAAAATTGAGTAGGCCTAATTGCATACGATTTTTTTTTCCATTAATCCATAAATCCCAAAAAGAAAGGGGGTCCGGGGGTTCTCCCCCGTGAATATTTTGATTCTTAGAAGGCGGGAAATGAGTTTTCCCGACTTCTGAGGTGTCTTTTAATTACTTTTAAGTTCTTTAAAATTCAAGGTTTCCCCCTCTTGAAAACGGTCAGGTAAATTTATCCCATTGTTATTGTTATTACAGTAGATAGGCCTTATGTGTGTATACATACATAAAAAAAAATTGAGTAGTTGCATACGATTTTTTTCCATGAATCCATAAATCCCAAAAAGAAAGGGGTGTCCGGGGGCTCTCCCCCGGAAAAATTTTGATTCTTTTTTAGAAGGCGGGAAATGAGTTTTCCCGACTACTGATGTGTCTTAATTACTTTTAAGTTCTTTAAAATTCAAGGTTTTCCCGTCTTAAAAACGGTCAGGTAAATTTATCCTATTGTTATTACAGTACATAGGCCTTATGTGTGTATACATACATTAAAAAAAATTGAGTAGTTGCATACGATTTTTTTTCCATGAATCCATAAATCCCAAAAGGGGAAGGTGGTCCGGGGGATCTCCACAGGGAAAATTTTGATTCCTAGAAAGCGGGAAATGAGTTTTCCCGACTTCTGATGTGTCTTAATTACTTTTAAGTTCTTTAAAATTCAAGGTTTTCCCGTCTTAAAAACGGTCAGGTAAATTTATCCTATTGTTATTACAGTACATAGGCCTTATGTGTGTATACATACATAAAAAAAATTGAGTAGTTGCATACTATTTTTTTTTCCATGAATCCATAAATCCCAAAAAGGGAAGGTGGTCCGGGGGTTCTCCCCCGGGAAAATTTTTATTCCTAGAAGCGGGAAATGAGCTTTCCCGACTTATGAGGTGTCTTTTAATTACTTTTAATTTCTCCAAAAATCAAGGTTTCCCCCCTCTTGAAAATGATT